TCACTTTGTTGAACTCATCCGCACTCAAACTTGAGACAAGCAAAGATATGGCTTGTGCATTTTGGTGAAGGTTGAATGCTTCTTCTAGGGTTTTCTCTCTATCTTCATCGGTGGGAATGATCACACCAACTTCCACAACTTTCCAAAGTCTTGTGGCAATGAGGTGCATCTTCATCTTGTAAGCCCAATCAGTGTATCTTGTTCCATCAAAGTGAGGTGGCTTGCCATGGTTGACTGTGGAGAAATGCATGGGCGGACCTTTGATGAGTTGTCCATCATCAAAAACTGGTATTTGAATAGATTCCCTTTCCTTGAACATTCTCATGTGCTGCTCCAACATCACTTCCATTATCTTTGACTCCATCAATCTTGCCACTAATAGCATCATCAACCTTCTTGCTCAACTCATCCTTCAACTTGCTCATCTCATCATTCATCTTCTTCATTTCATCTTGGAAAAGCTTGACTTGCTCAGCCATCAACTCTTTAGCAATTTGCTTGGCCATCTCGGTGACATTGGCTTACATCTTTTTGGTGTCCGACATTGTTTCTTCTCACATGGTGAAGCACTAAAAGAAGACCTTGCTCTGATACCAATTAAAAGGATCTAAACAATGCCTAGAGGGAGGGTGAATAGGCATATCTAAAAATTTCTACACAAACTCAAAGTAACTTATCAGCAACTGTCAGAAGTCCCGATAGTTTGGGCCAGAACTTTTGGCAGCCGGAAGTTCCGACACAAACAACCGGGAGTTCTGACTCCTACGTGAACTACTCAATCCAAGCTAAAATGAACTTTGTGAATCTGATAACTTACAACCCCACTTCCTAGTGGTAAGGTGAAGCGTTGAGGTTACTCCTTTGACGCCGAAAAGCCTTCACTCCGTAGATCAAATCCAAACCATAAGAGGTGCTTTGGGGGAGAAGAGAAACAAACAATACCAAATATGATAGCACAAATCACAACAACAACATGCATGTGGGAGACAAGGATTTATCCTGAGGTTCGGTAACCCCACAAAGGAGCTCCTACCTCCTCGTTGTTGAGGTGACCACAAAGGTCAGAGTCTCTTTCCACCTTCTTTTCTCTCTCAAGGCAACCACAAAGGTCACTTGAGCTTTCCACTAAGAAATCAAGGGTAATACAAACTTTCCAAGGCTCTTCCACAAGATGGAAGCTCTTGGGCGACGCCTAGCTGGCTAGGAGCAAAGCTATAAGAGTAATAGACGCAAATCCAACCGGCTTGACAAAGAAATCAAGTGCTCAAGCTTGCTAAAGTGACTCTCTCACTCAATCCACTCTCCTTTCACTCAAATCCTTGGGGGAATCAAAGTTATGAGCAAAGGCGAGAGGAGCAATGAATGCTTGGGAGCTATTTTGACCAGAGTTTTGGTCGCAATGAATGAGTGAGTAACAGTTCAAAGAGAGGAGAGAGCTATTTATACTCTTAGGTGAAATCCAACCATTCAGATCTGCGTCGGAAGTCCCGGCACAGATCACTGGAACTTCTGGCACCTAATAAAAACATTGTTCAACACGTAGGCAACTGGGCTAGCTCGGCCAGCGCCGGGACTTCCGACAGCCAGCCAAGCCTAGCGACAAGGTCCTGAGGACCTAGGATTTCCGGCGGGAGACGGGACTTCTGGTAGGCGCCGGCATTTCCGATGGCTAAAATCCAAAAAACTATATCTAAGTGTTCATGATGTGCTTGATTGTCTCTCTTTTGATTTTATTTTTATGCTTGTGCATTCTATCTTCCTCAGACAACCTAAACTAGTATCCCTCTTTATAGTACGACAAACCTAAACCCAAAACAAAAGATAAAAACTTTGAAGTCCGTTTTGAGTTTGTTCGCCTTTCATACTTCAACAATTGAGGGACACCATTTCATCTAAATCAACTCTTTGATTCCTTCATGGGACTAAAGCTGCGATAAATCTCATGAAGATCTCATTAGTCCCTAACTTAGATGTCATCAATACACCAAAACCCACATAGGGGCAAATACACTTTCACTTGACCGTGCACGAGGAGGCCCGGCCCCTCTGGGCGGCGTGTGGGGCGGCCATGGCGCGGGGCAGCCCGGCCCCTCTCTGCGGCGGCGTGGGGCGGCCACAGCCACAGCCCGGGCCCCTCCCAGAGGCAGCGTGGGGCCACGGCCCCTCGTGGCCACGCGCCTCCTCCACTCAGTCCGTGGCTCCACCACGGTGTGGATCCAGCGGGTATGAGCGCGCTGGTGGCGGATCCGTGGGGATGAGTGCGTCGGCAGCAGATTTGGCGGGGAGGAGCGCTCGTGCGGGCGGCGGTGGATCCTGCGGGGAGGAGCGCTCCGGCGGGCGACGGCGTGTCGTCGGCGGGGAGGCATGGCTCCAGATCTGGCGTCGGGGAGCGCGCAGGTGCGGCGATGCAAGGCCCAGATCCAAGCCCAGTTAGGGCTAGGCTGCGAGCTTTTTTTCTTTGTTTTGTTTTTTAAATTTAATTAACCGAGGCGGACATTTGAACCGTCTCGAGAAAAAAATGATTTACCGTGACCTTTTTTTTTTCTTCTTGCATGGCCCTCACGCTAAGCTTTCCATGATAGTAGTGGGAGGGGTTTTTTATTTCTCGTTCTTACTTCTCGAGAAGTCAAACGTACTTGACTTTAACTATTATATAAAATAAAATATTAATACTTATAATATATAATTAGTATCATTAGATAGATGGTTGAATCTATTTCATAATAAATTTATTCACTTCTATATTTCAGCTACCCGAATTTTAAGATGATTTCAGGCAACACTCTTGTACTATCAAGTAGTACAAGTAAATTATCACTTGTGTGATTTGTTATTTGTCTTTGTGTCATAACATATCAAATTTTTGTCCTTGTCCGATTATAGAAATAATTATAAATTATTAAATTGTTTTTGTGCAAACACATATCAGATTTTGTCTAACAGTTTTTTTATTCTTGGAACAAAAAATTACCGATTGTGTCTAAAAAATTACAATGAACTGAAATTGCAGTTTTAGTATAAAAATATGCAATAACCGTCACCTGAAAGAAGACCAAAATTCAGGCACATGAAATTTAGCAAATCCCAAATTTATTCAAATATATACATATTGTTAATATTTTCTACAAACTTAGTTAAACTTGAGAAAGTTTGATTAACATGATTCCTACCACGACACTTAAATAGGGACACACGGAGTAATTAAGGGTGCGTTTGGTTGAAGAGCGAGGTACAATGGAACAATTCCATTCCTGTTTTACGGATGGAATGGTTCTATTACAGTGTTTGGTTGGAAGGACAGAGCGATTCTATTTTTTGTTTGGTGCGAGGGATGGGTGAATCAGATAACAAATCAGTTAACACCGTCAACTATGGGGCCCACCGCTCATAGAAACATGGCTTCTTCCCATTCCTCTCCTCCGTTCCTCTCCCAGAGCCATGGACCTGCTCGCGTCCACGCCGCCAGCACGTGCCTGCGCCCCCGCCCGCTACGCCACCCTGATCCACTCCATCGTCACGCCCCCTGGCCCGCTCCACCGTCGCGAACCCTGATCCGCTCCAGCGTCGCGCCCCCTGGCCCGCTCCGCCGCCGCGCCCCCTGATTCGCTACGCCGTAGTGCCCCTGGCCCGCTACGCCATCGCTACCGCCAAGCCATCCTTGCCACCACCTCTGCCCAGCCATCTATGCGCCCACCGGCCCTAGCCCTTGCTCGCCCCGGCAGCGCGCACGGAGCAAGACGGCGTTAGCGCTGTTCGCTGGGACGAGCGCGTTCGGTCGATTTCTGAGAGCGAGATCATCCCAAAATCTCAAGGAATATTCCTGTTTGGGAGCCATTCCATCCTTCTGCTCCTCAACCAAACAGCACCTAGGACGGAGCCGCTCCATCCCATTCTAGCCAATCCCACCAACCAAACACACCCTAAGTTCTCGTTCCCAAATCCCAACGTATGTACTAGCATGTTTCCAACTTATGTGGCGCACATGTAGCGTGTTTCAACGTTAGAGCATGCATTTAAGCGTGTTCAGATAGTACATGAACATGTAGATAATATGTTAGCACGCCCGTGGGAGGCTACGTTTAGTGTGTTTTAGAGGATCTTCTTAATTATGTAGCTTAGTTTTAATTGAGTTAGCATATGCACAAATTTGATTATATAACATGTTAGCGTGTAACATATTTTAGATTTCCAAAGTTCACGACTCAATTAGTTGCTGATTTTTCCCATGCATATAACATGTTTTTTTAACTGGGTATGCAATGTGATTGGTGTATAGTTTTAACGTGACTTGGTATAAAAAAAATAGTTTTTAAGACAAAATTGTGTACATTAGCATCATGTTGTATACATGATGAACCTGCTAAAAAAGTTTTTGTGATACCCTATCGTGACTAGTGTACAATTTTAATGACTAGTGTACAATTTTAATCTTGTAACATGATAGGCCATAGTTTCATATGCACCATGACATCGGAGTGGTAGTTTCATAGAGTTCAGAGAAGAATAAAGGCTAGTTAGGTATAGATCTGCTCCCAACTTTTTTTTGGAGCAGATTCTTAAGAGCGCTACCAAATAGTTAAAATGTAACTGTGTTCTGGTGAGGAGCTAACGAGAATCACTTCTCTATTTACAGTACGAGTTGGGAGCTAGGAATAGGAACATAACACAGCTACCTGGGGGCCATATCTACTCATGACCACTTTGTTGTTCACATTTCTACTATATACATATGGTGTAATCCTCTCGTGTGCCATGCCCATGCATGCAGCAAATTAGACGCTTGTCGATTGTTTTCTTTGCCAACTGCACGCACAACACGAGGAGTTAAGCAACAATTTATCGGATAACGGACAACATGCCATTTGCATACTTTAGATCTTTAATTAATAGGTTCAGCTAACCATCGTCAATCAATATATATACTTACAGAATGCTCAGGCACTCAGCTACGTACTAAACATATATTGTCACAATGATACGGCCGACGAAACGAAGAGAGGTTAGATGCCAAGAGCTAGAGACGACAGAGCAATTGTAAGGACGGACGAGACGGGCACTCGGAGGTTGCTGCCGTGAGACGACGCTGCTCCCGCCGGCGCCGGCGTTTTACCGCCTTCAGCAGCATCGCCGTCCTGACCCATTTCATCAAAACAAAAGAGAGATTATCACAGACATATAGATTTCCTAGAAGTTCAGCAAAAACAATGTGGGCTATGCTAGCATATACTATTATGAAATCATGCAAAAGATTAATTTCCCAACATAAAAAACTTCTGTGTAGTCCAAAAGTTCATAATTTTTCATGCCTTCACGGCATATTTGATTGTGAAATCGACCGTTGAGAGGTGAAATTAAGCACTAACTATATATGACGTACTATATGTTTTCAAACTGTAAAAGTAATCATCAAGTTAGAAAAGCAACAGAATCGAATTTCTCTTCACAGGGAATGCATGATGCGCGCCTTTCAGTTTTTTTTTTTCCGATCATTGCACGACGACTAAACGCGAAATGCGTCCAAAAGCCGCGAGGCCAATGCCGCATGCATGCACGAGCATACCTTTGGTGCTGTCTCCGACGACTCATCGGCCGGGCCGCTGGCCGCTGCCGTCGCCGGTGGCGGACCATCCCCTCCTTCCTCCTCCTGCACACGGTCAGCCAGGCACAAGGGAAGAAGTCAAATTCCTGCGACAGTTGCAGTCACAATCGACAAACAATGAACCAGCTTGTCATGTCAGCGAACCGGCGTCTTGTCTTCGTCGGTCGAATCACCCTTCTCTGACGACGGCGCCTCTGACGACGGCGATGGTCCGGTGGCCTCGGATGAAGCTTCGTCGTCCACAGACGACGGCGCAGGCGCCTCCGCTGATGCGGCCGTCTCTTCAGGTGTCGCGGTCTCCTCCGCGTCATCTTTCTTGGCAGTCTTGGATTCAGGGGCGGACGCTAGGGTGGCTGCCGGAGCCGGCACCGGCGCAGCCCCTGTCTTCACCTGCATTGCGCAGCGCAGAGACGTACGCCCGTCAGAACACGCACCAATGTGCCATGCCAGAGCGTGTGCCCGTCGTCTCGGCAACGGCAAGGCCAAGACGTGCGCGCGTATAGTACTAGTACCCCGTCTTTCATGAGGCCGACGTCGTACACCGGCGTGAGGTTGGCGTAGAACAGGCCGAAGTTGCGCTCGGCGACGGGGCCCGGCTTGAGGTTCTCGTTGAAGAGCGCGAAGATGTACGTCTCGAAGGTGCGCTTGGGCATCAGTGGCGTGCCCGACCCGCCGCCGGCCTCGCCGATGAGGTACCGGTTGTACTCCGCCGCGTCGGCGTTGCTCACGCCGATCTGCCCGTCCATCGCCTTGGTCGGCCACCCTGTCTCGCCCACCGCGATCTCCACGTCGTCGAACCCGAGCCTCTTCATCGCCGAGAACACCGAGTCCAGCTGCGCCTCGAACATGCTGGTGTACGTGATGCCCGTGCCGGGGTCCGTCACGCCCAGGTGGTTGTCGGGCCGCGCGAGCGCGTAGGGGAGCGTCGCGCCGTTGTACCCGAAGTACGGGTACGGGTTCACCATGAACGGTGACCTGCTCTGCCGGTGGAACGCCAGCATCGGCGCGAACACGGCGCGGTCCCAGCCGTCGCGGAACCGGCTCGCGGACGGCGGCTCCGACACGCCGGCCAGGATGCCCAGGGAGTGCGGCGTTGACACGCGGATCTTGGGGTACCCGGCCGCCACCAGCGCCGCCTTGAGCGCGCGCATGGCGGGCACCAGGTTGGAGATGAGCTCCTTGTCGCCCGTGTCCATGATCTCGTTCCCGACGAGGACGAGCGAGATGTCCGTCGACGGGTAGTACGGCGCCACGTTGGCGGACACCCACGCCGCCGCGCCGTCCTTGGTCGCGAGCTTGGGGATGTCGCCGTTGCCCGCGGTGACCATGAGCGCGATGCCCGTGCCGGCGAAGGCGCGGACCATGTCCGGGTTCGTGTCGAATAGCTTCACGCGGTCGATGCGGGTGCGGTTGGCCAGGAACGACGCCACCGTGGCCGGCGGCGGGAGGTTGTCGCCCTTGGTGCCGTAGTTGACGCCGATACCGGCGGTGGACGAAGGTGCTACGACGAGAATCAGGAGGGACACGGAAACGACGGCAGTTGCGTGCCCTTGCCACGACGGCGGTGCCATGGTGGTGGTCTGGTCGGTGAAGTACGATCGCTCGCGCCGGACGCCCGTCCAACAGCGGTGGCGAGGGGCGTTCGGAGTTTAACTTCTGGTTGTGGTTACAGTGCGCCAATTATGGCTGGGTAACTACTATGGAGTAAAAGATTCGATTCAGGTATATTAAGTAAGGTCCTAAATCATGCTCCCTCGGTCCCAAAATAATAACTTTAAATTTATCCTAAAATAAATAATATTCTTCGTAAATATAGAACACTGCCTCCTAATGAAGAAACTAATCATAGGTCCATGTAAATGATAGCTATCAAAACCTGGAGGTATTCTCCAAGAAAGAAAAGGAGATGAAAGTATATGCGTCTTTTGCCAATGTCCTTAATTTGTTCGGAATTTCTATAAAATTATTTATTATGGAACAGTAAGTGATAAGCTTGGATGCCTATTTAAGATGAGATTAATATATTTGTCTCAAAATGCACTTTTATAAAAATATATTTTTACATTAAAAAGTAATGGTTAAATAACGTAGAGCCATTGTAGCTCTACATATAATTTTCCTACTAGATAAAATTTTAGCATATAACTATTTTATGCAGGACCATATGAGTTTTAAAAAAACTACTTATGAAAAAGTAGTACGAAGGCATCCGGAGTGTATCTTAAGGTGGGTCCCATACTCCCATGTACTCTATAGCCAGTATGTTTGCCGGTCTTATATGGACCCTGCCTCCTTAAATAAAAAAACTTACTCCATGAATAAATCTAATTTTAGAGTTATCTTAAGTTAAAATTTTTAAATTTAACTGAATTTATAAGAAAGGCTACCAAGATTTATGACACCAAATTGGTATTATTAGATATACAATGATTTTTTTATAATATGTTCAATATGGTGTCAGAAATATTGTTCATTTTTCTGTAAGTTCAGTCAAATATAAACAAGTTTGGCTTAAGATAACTCCAATGCTCCATTTGGAACGTGAGATTTCTTTATGTTCCTACATTATGTTAAAATTAAATTAAATCTTGTAAAATTCCTATATAATTTATGTAAAATTTCTATAGTACAAAAGAGCTCTAAGAATTGATTTCTTCGTGGACCATGAAAGTACTATAGAAGTTCCTCATGTCTTCCGCCCGCATTCCCACCCATAACCAGTACCAATGCTCCTTTCCCCAACATTTCCACCCCCTCTTGTTCCATACCTTAGCATCCGGAAATGTGGAACATGGCCACGTTCCACGTTCCCGATTTAGGAACATTTACGTTCCCACGTTATAGAATAACATCTAAAATTCCTATTTTTGTTCCACGTTATTGAGAATGTGATCCGATATCATGAGAAAAATGTTCCACCATCGCAAGAAAATGACTCAAAGATTTGGGCATATGACACATTTATGTGAAATAAAACATTACAAAATTAATTAAAACGTACATTTAAAAAGACCGATAACAAATTTTACCCATATGCTAGTGATAAAAAAGTATTTACCAGTGGACCTGCAAGAAGTACAATAAATGATCTAATGAAAAGTTATAGTAATACAAGTAGCTAGAAGCAAAATAAAAATAGAGAATGAATCTGAATGTGCACTTGTCTATGTGAGCGTCCGGGTCTTGAAAAAAAGCGTCATGGCAAAAAAGAAAGAAAGAAAGGGAAACTGAGAAAGAATAAACCAGTTTCATGGGCCGCTCTCCCTATCGTCATCCGTATGACCAGCATGAGCCTGCAGGCCCAAAAAAAGAGAGAGAAATCCAGCCCAACAAGCAAAGGGTAAGAGGGGGAGGCGGGCATACACCTCTTCGCTGTTCCTCTCCCGTTCACCTCGCCTGCCCCAGGACTGGATTCGGCCGGCTGTACACGGCCTTGCCGACCGCCGCCGCCCTACTCCCAGCTGCCCAGGTCTTCGCCGGACCCTTTGCCGGCAACGAGCATCCACCAGTCACACACCAGGTATGCCCGCCCCCCTCTCTTCCCTTCCTTCTGGGCAAAATTGATCTCCCGAACTCTAATTCAAACTAGCTGTATCTGGGTCTGATCTAATCACAGGTGTAAGTGTGCATGTATTATGCCTACTAATTTCGTTTTTTGGCCAAAAAATTTATCTGGTGTACATGTGTAGCCGCCCCTGATGCCCGCCCCCTTCTATTGGCTTCCTGCTGCTCGGCACCGGGTACCCCAAACCCTAACCTAAGCTATCTGTATTCGGATGTGAACCAATCACAATGCTACCTACTTCGTGTATTTGAAAAAAAAACCTGGTGTACATGTGTACACCCATGTCTAGTATACCGGGCCGCTCCTGAATCTGACAGAAGAGGAGGTGAGACGATAGAGATTTAGGATCTTTTCGGATTGGTAGGGATCTAGAGATAGCGTTTTTCATAATTATCCCGCACCATGCTGAAGCGGAAGCGGCACAAGTTTGAGCACTGTTCACCTGTCCTGAAAGTGTAGAAGCTTGTAGCGCTTGACTTTGTGAATTTCTTCATGTTTATTTTATTTTTGGGTTCTTACTTCTAGGTTGCTTCTTTTGTGGGGCCAAGTTTAGACTGATCCTGGTTAGGGCGGTAGAAAGTATCTATATCAAAGTCACAGCATGGGATTTTTTTTTATCAGGATTACAAAATCACGGATACTGGTGGACTTGGCATGATGGTGCTTGTTTAGGATTCCAGCATTTGAAATCCAACTCCACCATGGTCGGCAGTTTCCATCTGATTTCCATTTGTCCATGGTGGCAGTAGTGAGCTAAGTAAAGAAGATTTATTTAGTCACAAATATGTGCTGCATCTCAATCTCTGTTCCTGGATGCCCCATTATCAAACCCTGCTTTGTAGTCCCCAATCACTTTATCTTAACATGTGCTTCCGAAAAGCATCATGCGCCCTTTCAGGCTTCCACCATAGCACCACCTCAAACTCTCCTTCATTCATCGACTGGCTCAGCAAGGGCTGGAGATTTGTCCGTAGTGCTTTCTTTTGCTAGCAACGGAGCAACCAAGCCTTAAACTAATTGGATTGGTGTAACTTTGGTCTAATTTCTCTTGGGTATTTACTGTGAACAATGGAGCCCTTTTCATGCTCATCTGTGTAACTAGTGCAAAAAATGTTTCACTTATTGGAAGGAATATTCTTTTTAGTCATGGATTCATTTACAGTCAATCCACAAATGATATCCATCCGTTTGATTTGGTCACCACCTTGATATCCTGATGGGGTCCATCACTGTTATTTTACTTCTGTAACCCAAAGTGTTTATGGGTCAGATGCCCAATGTTTGCAGAGCTAACATGATGCTCTCTGTCCATGATAAGTTTCAGTATCTGTAATCCAACTCCAGTGTTTCTTCATTATTTTGTAGTTGTAGAAAGTGATGAACCTCCTGGATATTCTCTCAACAAATAGTATAAGCAGACTTACAGCTGTAATTTGTCCGGGCAGGTCTTTAAGAGAGATTTCTTGCTGTATTGACATTATTACCTACAACTCACTTCACCTTGGTCATTTGTTGATTGGATTACTTACCCATTAGTCTGGTAGACCTGCTACCCTCCAATCCTCCATGCAGCTTGTTCTCTCAGATAACTCCATAATATTTACTTAGATTGGCCACTTTGCTTAAATATCCAACTATGTATTTCTTTTCACGTGAGATGATATGCTTATTAAGCTTTAGAAATTTTATCAGTGTTTAGATGTTAAACTAGGAAAGGGTTAAGCTGCTAATTTATCACAGCATTGCCAAATGCCAAGCAATATTAGTTGTCTTGATTTTTTCCCCTTGAATACGCTGGAGAACTGTGTCAAATTTGAGTCTTGATAAATAAACAGTGCATCTGTTCCTAAAAAGTTAGTTCATAGTTGCATGAACTTTATCTGCTTGGCCATCAGATTTACTCAGCTTAGTTTCATGTATCACCTCGCATTTTACTGGGCTGTGTCAAATTTGCAATGAATTGTCTATCAGATTAGCAACCATGGTTTAATTTGTTCTGCTCTAGTACTTTTCCAGTTGACCCAGTCTGGCAGAAGATTCCTCGTCTTTGCATATTGCAGTTGTGTTAACCCATGAATAGAAAATGGCGTTCTGACGGCTTATGTTTTAATTGGGTCTCTAATGACATGAAGCCTTATTAGGAGATCTAGTGAAATTAGTGCTTGCAGGTATAGTTTTGCGTTTCATTGAAGATAAACTTAGCTTAAAAGTTTGGATGGGCTATGTTGCTAGTTTCGTTGGAGACACTATAACTGTCACCATGATAGCTTGAACAGCTTGCCATTTTGGACAGCAATATCATTTTGTGACACTTTGGACAACCATTATGGTGTTCGTTGCTTATGATCCCAACCATTTTCAGCTATGTTCTTCTTTCTAGTAGTCATTTATGTTTTGCATTGGAATCATATTTCTGGGTTTACATAAGTGTTTTAATCTTGGTACCAGGTTTTGATGCGATGGGGTTATTCAGGGGCAGCTTCACTCTCTTGGTGGGAATGGGATGTGGTATCTATGTAGCTCAGAACTACAACGTTCCAAACGTCAAGAAGCTATTCAACACATATGTTTTTCTGGCAAAGCACATTGAGGAAACCTACCGTAAGCCGAAGAAAGACGATGATTGATCCTTTTACATTTGTTTTCCCTGTTATGCCCCGGGAAAGCAAGTACAGCTAATGTTATACGGAAAGGTTCTTTTTTGAAATGGTGAAGGCAATATTGGTTATGGACAAGTTTTGAACTCTGGTGGATAATGTTGGTTAGTTGTAATTCAGTTGCTGTAATAGTTTTTGGTCGTGTTAGACCATGAGCTTCTGGAGCATCCCTTTTGCTCGTGTTCCTCTGCCTGGGAAATGCATTGAACTTTGTAGTTGAACTGTTGAAGTGCGGTGATGGATAATCTAGCATCATATCAGTGTCTTCATCAAGTTAACATAGGATGGGATGATATCTTTAGTTGAATTTAGATTTGTTTTGTTTTCTTAAATTGTGGTGTTCCTAATTTGCCCCAATGGATGATGCCATTTATATTTGCAACCGAGATAGAGGGGATGTGCCTTTCCCCACCCATCGTCTAGTGGGGGTAAGAAAAAAATAGCCAAACTTGACAAACCGAGCCAAAATATAGTCCGAGTTTTGTCACGCTTTCTTCTGAACGCATGCCATTTCATGTGCTCGTTTGTGCTATTCACCTTGTTGCTCATCCGTTGTCGCCAAACTTTTAGAAAATGTATTAACATCAACAAGCTCAAATAGATGCAGTATCAAGATATATTTCATGGAAAAATTAATGAAACTATTTGTTATTATATGTGTGTATTTTTCTATAAATTTAACTAAAATTAAAGAAGTTTGGCTTAGATTAATTATAATGGAGTGAGTATTATTTTTTCTAAACTCATATCCTCAAAGCTCTTATGCACAAATCAGAACAAAATTCGATAGCTACAAAATGAAGTGTTGGAGCGCCCTAAGGCACTTTGTTGACATTTTACATTCATATTATTAATTATTAATACCTTTCTAGCCAAAAAAAACTTGATTACCAAAGAGGCAAAGAGGAAAGAGCCCACTTTAATTTGGCACATGAACATAGAACACTCGCCTCTTTTTTTTTCACATAAACTCCTCAATTGAAGCTCACTTCACCCTTTCTCCAGTCCAGTGCCATAGACGAACCAGTTCCCCCCGATGAGGCCAAGGCGGCGCGACGGCAGCGTCCGTGCGTGAGGTGCAGCCGCTATCGGAAGCGGGTGCAAATGCGGCTGCCACCTTACCTTTTCGACGGCCAGGAGAACGAAGGGAAGCGCGTTCTCTGATGGCCCGGGCGGCGAGGAAAGCTGCTGATGCCGCACTGCTCTCGCCGCCGCAGGCTTTCATGTTTCCTTCCTCCGCTGGGCTCCTCCGGGGGGCCTGTGCCGCTAAAAAAGCCTTGCCGGAGACACATCGGCAGCGCGTGCATGGTTGTGCCCTACCCTACTGGGTCAAAGCCCGTGGCTTACACAGTGCGCGCAGGGTGTTCGACAGAACGCCTACGCGGAGCTTGCCGGCGTGGACATCGATCATCTCCGGCTGCGCGCGTGAAGGCAGGCACGCGGACGGCATGCGCGCGTTCACGGAGATGCTGGACGGATGCGGTGCGACCGCGCCGAACGCCTTCGTGCTCGCAGGCGTCCTCCGGTGTTGCGCGGGGCTCGGTGACATCGAGTCTGGCAGGCGCATCCACGGGTGGATTATGCGGAGCGGCATGTGTCCGGACGTGGTGCTCTGCAATGCAATCCTTGACATGTACGCCAAGTGCGGTGACCATGGGTGCGCCAGGAGGGCGTTCGGGGCGATGGCCCAGAAGGACGCCACATCCTGGAACATTGTGATCAGGGCGTGTCTGCAGGACGGCGACGTTGTGGGGGCGATGCGGCTGTTCGATGAATCGTCGTTGAGGGACGTTTCGAGCTGGAACACGATCATCAGTGGGCTTATGAGGCATGGGCGCGCCACTGAGGCGTTGGATCGCCTGCAGCAAATGGTGCGAGCTGGAGTTGCGTTTAGTAACTACACTTACTCCATGGCGTTTGCCTTGGCTGGCTTGCTTTTATTGCGGGACCTAGGCCGGCAGCTCCATGGTCGCGTGGTGGTGGCTGAATTGGAGGAGGATGCGTTTGTCGGCTGCTCTCTCATGGACATGTACTGCAAGTGTGGAGAAATGGAATCTGCTCTGTCAATCTTTGATCGCTGGTCAGAGTTTACAGAGGACATACAATTGGCGTGGAGCACGATGGTCGCTGGGTATATCCAGAATGGCAGGGAGGAGGAAGCTCTTGAGTTCTTCCGCAGGATGCTGCGTGAAGGAGTTCCTGCTGGGCAGTTCATCCTCACTAGTGTAGCTGCTGCCTGTGCAAATGCAGGGATGGTTGAGCAAGGCAGGCAAGTGCATGGATTTGTTGAGAAGCTGGGTCACAGATTTGATGCACCATTAGCGTCTGCCATCGTTGACATGTATTCAAAGTGTGGTAGCCTTGAAGATGCTTGCAGGATATTCAAAAGTGCTCAGGACAAGAATGTTGCTCTCTGGACTACAATGCTGTGCTCCTATGCAACACACGGGCAAGGAAGAATGGCATTAGAGATCTTCAGCAGAATGAAGGCTGAAAAGATCACGCCAAATGAGATAACCCTCGTCGCTGTTCTATCTGCTTGTAGCCATAGTGGTTTGGTCAGCGAGGGATACCACTACTTCAACCTTATGCAGGAAGAGTATGGAATTGTTCCAAGCACTGAGCACTACAATTGCATGGTTGATCTTTACGGACGAGCGGGGCTACTCGACAAAGCAAAGAATTTCATTGAGGAAAACAAGATCAGCCATGAAACTATTGTTTGGAAGACTTTGCTGTCAGCTTGTCGACTTCACAAGCACATTGAGTATGCAAAATTGGCTTCTGAAAAGTTGGTTCAACTAGAACAATATGATGCTGGATCATATGTTCTGATGTCAAACATGTATGCCACCAACGGCAAATGGCTTGACACTTTCAAGCTCAGAAGTTCAATGAGGGAAAGGAGAGTCAGAAAGCAGCCAGGTCAATCATGGATCCATCTGAAAAATACTGTGCATAGATTTGTTGCACTGGACGTGTCTCACCCGAGATCAGCTGAAATTTATGCTTACTTGGAGAAGCTGATGGAGAGGCTGAAGGAAATGGGGTACACAGGTAGAACTGATCTTGTTGTACACGATATTGAGGAGGAACAGAGAGAAACATCTCTGAAGTTCCACAGCGAAAAACTTGCTATTGCATTTGGGATCATCAGCACCCCTGTTGGGACGCCACTTCGGATCTTCAAGAATCTGCGTGTTTGTGAGGACTGCCACGAGGCAATCAAGTTTATAACCCGAGCCACAAATCGGGAGATTGTGGTTCGAGACTTGTATCGGTTCCATCATTTCAAGGATGGCCAATGTTCTTGTGAGGATTTCTGGTGAAAGGTTTTGCTTTGATATCGGTTGACAAAGTGTAGGCTGTACTATATCTGCACTTGGAGATAGCGACTTAGAGTAAGGTATCTGGTTGACAAATAGCATAAGCGCACAGCGTGGGAAGGAGCTAATGTGCTGAAAAATAACAGCAGCAAAAGAAATTGAAGGGGAAAGAAAACATCGACCCCTGCTCAGTTTTCATGCCAGACATAATTCAGGGACGGTTAGTAGGACATTCAATCAACCATTGGTGGCGCATGTTTGAGCACTACTCACCTGTAAGTATAGAAGTTTGGATTTGTGAATTTCCTTGCGTTTATTTTACTTTTGGGTTCTTACTTCTAGGGTGCTTTTGTAGAGCCAAGTTTAGACTGATCCTTGTTATGGTGGTAGAAAGTATCTGTATCAAAAAGTCACGGCATGGAAATTTATGAGGATTACATAATCACGGATACTTGTGGACTTGGCATGAAGGTGCTTGTTTAGGATTTCAACACTTGAAATCCAACTCCACCATGGTTGGCAGTTTGCATCTGATTTCCATTTGTCCATGGTGGCAGTAGATTAACTGTGAGTTAAGTAATGAAAATTTGGTCACAAAATTGTGCTGCCTCGCATTCCCAATTCCCGGCTGCCCCATTATCAAGCTTTGCTTGGTACTGCCCAATCACTTAATCTTTGCGTGTGCTGCCGAAAGACATCCTGTGGCCTTCCAGGCTTCCACCAGAGCACCACCTCAAACTCTCCTTCATCCATCGACTGGCTCAGCTAGGGCTGGAGATTCATCCATGGTGCTTTCTTTTGTTGGCAACCAGGCCTTAACTAATTGCTCAGCAAGGTGGTTGACATGGAGTTTTAGTTTAATCAGCCATCTCACACTCTCACTGGACAAGGACGCAGTAATTCTTGGATCACCAGTAAGATGATTGCACAAATGGTTTGTAGACAATAATTACTGCTTTAAGTAGAGTAACTTCTGTTTTGCCTTGTCACTGTAAATTCTGAACCTTTGCAGTTTTTTTTTCCATACAGTTCTCACCTATCGAAACTAAGAAATGTAGAATCGCATGTTCATCTTACAATAAATAATAATAGTACTATATGATAATGATTTCATATCATAATTATTTATAAATCTTTGTGAAAAAATGGTTAAACTAAAACTTATTTGACTTAGCACTAGCTAGCAAGTTTATTCCTTTGTTAGATCGAGCTAGTGAAACCATATGGAGTGAAAATTGTTGAGTGATTCATAAATTCTACTGTTAAAGCTTGGTAATTGTTTAGTGAGGTTCAATTTTGATTATATTTGACACCTCAGTAAACAAATGCTATATTGGTATGGGTTGTCAATAAAAATCTGAGCTGGACATGGTATTCTTCTCGCTTGTGCAAGGACATGTGCGGTGCGGGAGTTCTAGGAAGCTGCAGATCATGAGGTGAAATAATTCTTGCTAGGTTGTTGGTCACCATGATTACTTAGATTGTGTTTCTTTGTTCTAATCCATTGTCATATACTATGCCGACCACTTGTTTGTTGAATTGTGACACTGGTTGCTGCTGCCAGGATTATCCTATATGTGAGCTTACAGTTGATGAATCTTGTTAGTAACAAGTGGTGTACAAGTATAAATATATGTGAGCTTACAGTTTCATTATTTTAGGCAAATCGTCAATAGTAATCAAGTGTATGCAGCATGCAATCGGTGTTGGAAATGGCAGGGGTCAATATATTTCTGTTGTCTTTTTAGAAGAAAACAACAACCATCTTCTTTCCAGTAGTCTACAAAGATGTTTTACTCTGTCTCGGTAGGTTAGTATGACGCAAATTTTGATTTTCTGCTTCCTGTTATTTAGCTCTCTTATGTACCTCAAGTACTAATTCTTTAGTCCTAGATATTGCAACATTTTAGATGCTATGTACTGCTTTATAAGTAATTCTAGCATGCATGTAATTGGCATGTTCAGTGAATTTACCTTTCTGCCAATTTCAGAAAAATTGAAGTTCAGCTGAGTTGTGCCAATTTTAACAAGTTCTCATCTTATTTCTTGCAGATGTAATATGTGAACCAGGAGCTTACAGCTGAGGATTTTCTTTATGATGACGATTACAAGATAGACCTCTCTGTGTCCAATCTGGATGTCCTTAATATCCTGGAAGGGATTGTTCAGCTGGAATATCCACAATTCAATTTGTCGCAAGAGTTAGCCCCTAATGCATACCTTGGCATGAGTAACTGTGAACAGAGTGTTGGGGTGTTTTCCTGCAAATGGCAGATCTTCATTAGCCATTCTGTATCATTGCAGAACTTTTCGAGTGAGGTTTCCTATCTTTTCAGTGTCAGAACATATAATTAGCCAGGAGAGCATCTTTTTCTCTTCGAATTTTAATGCAATCAGTTAGAACTTGCAGGAATGCTCAGAAACTAAGTCGGCATCCATCCCTTCAGATTGGTGGCTGCTATGAAGTTCACGATATTGGGGACGGCACAGCAACCTCTTTCTGGTATGATGCTTGGCACAATGAGGACACTCTTGCTGAACGTTTTCCGGCAATACACAGTCACTGCACCCACAAAAATGTCTCGGTGGATCAGGTCTGTGCCTCAGGTTCACTTGACTCGACCCTGTTTGTGCCGCGCCTTTCACACCAAGCTACTGTTGAGTTCAGCCAACTGCAGCAGATTGTCATTCAGACATCACTCTCAGACACCAGAGACAAACGCCGGGGACTTTTCTGCCTCGGCCATGGGAAACTTGATTCCGGCAGCCTTTATCGTCTACTGCAGTCCAGGAATGCGCCACCACACCCTGCTGCCAAGTTTATCTGGAATAGTCATGCTCCTCCAACAGTCCAATTCTTCGTTTGGTTGCTCGTGCATGGCAGAATTCAGTGTAGAGCAACTCTTTTCAGGAAAACTATCGTCGACTCACCTGTTTGTGAAATATGCAATCTAGCTGACGAGACAAGCACACACATAGTCTTTGGCTGCCGCTTTGCTGACGAATTCTGGGCGAAATTAGGAATCCAACCAGCGCAGTCAGCAGATGATGGGTGCCTCTTCTGCTTGACAAGTCCAAACCACTTCCCAAGTAAGCACTTCAGCACTTTCGTCGCCCTGTGTTACTGGAACTTGTGGAAACGTCGGAATGGAGTCATTTTCAGAAGTGAGGCGCTCACACATCAACAGGTGTTTCGTCTCAACCACAATGATGCAAAACTGTGGAAGACCAGACTGCCAAAGAGAGACAAAGTGATCGCTGATGCCTGGTGTAACCTTCTGTTATCAAACATGTAGCCTAATACAAATGATGGTGTAAAAGTTGTAATTTTCGAACCATGATGGGTCCACTCTGGACCTAGATTAATGAAATTACCCTAAAAAAAAAGTTCACGATATTGAGGATCTTATCAGGGTTCCATCATTATTCTTGATGAGGCACAGTAAGACTTCACTTCTATGACTCTCTTTTCAGCCCTGTTGATTTCCTGGTACTTCAATAGTTTCATCAAGCAAACAAATTTCAAGACCAGGTGGGTGATGACGACGAACAATTGCTCTGGGACTGCACTGCGCCCTCAGTGCTGCCCATCCAGTTAAATTTCAAGACAAACACCCGTTGTTAAACGAAAAAAGAGAAAAAATACAACATTTTTATTAGTACTCCTACTTATAGAAAATCAATCTATTCTGGTCAATTTGCATTGTGACTGTCGTGTTAAATCTTTCTCCTTATTCAGTGCGGTGGCCTTACACATGATTTAACATCACATGGTGGTGAAATATTATGCCCTTCGTTTACCAAAGCTAACAATACAAAACAAACTGGCAGCACTTCGTATAGATGAGCATCATCCTCTGTGTTGAGATGAGGAATCTAGACGGTATTTTGAAGGTAAGTTCTGCTTGGGTAAAAAAAAACTTGTCGATCAAATCTTCAAGATAAAAAAAATATTGAAAACCAGCTGCCTGAAGAGTTCGCAAAATACTGAAAACCACCATAATTATTCTAAGACCGTCTTTTTTTATCGCCGTATAGGTTAAGATGCCTTGGATCTCTAAATCTTATTGGATCACAAGCTTCGGGATAGTATTGCTGAAGAGATGATTGGACCAGTAATAAACATGGACATCGTAATTGAGCTCCTTGTATACTCTTTTTAGAGAGCAGGGCTGACTGAAAGCTATATTTGACTGCACTAAGTTTGTTTAGATAACCATATCAGAATTTCCCAATATGGATCTTGTTTGTAAATGATGTGTTCAATTGAGAGAGAAAAATTTTATATATGCATATCCAGTATGGACTATGGAGCTCTACGCTGCAGCTGTAGTGTACTAGGCATTGGAATAGGCCATGTTCGGCTTACCCCATATTCGGCTTGTTCGACTTATTTTTTCAGCCGGAACGGTGTTTTTCTCTCACAACAATTCAGCCGGAACAGTGTTTTCAGCCAGTTTCAGCCAAGTTTCAGACCAGTGAACGGGGCCTATATCTATGACAATTATGTTTGTCTTTGTGAAAAGTGTCACATGAATTTCAGGTTACCTATTAATCGACTTTTGGCTGTGTGATTTGCATTATCTAATTAAACCATAGCGTTAGAACGGGTCATAAGTTCAACTGTTTAAGCTCGTGTGCAGAGATAGTCCAGTAAACACGCATCCGCTCGTGTGCAGAGCAGATGAATCCACAAGTGTCCACGGTGGACCACTTCCACCCGTCCCGTCCCGTCCCCACCACCTTCCTTCTCTACTTCTCTCTCTCTCTCTCTCTCTCTCTCCCACCGCACCGCACCGCAACCCGATCTCGTACCTCGCCGCCCCGCCCCGCCCAGCCCCGCTTCGACGGCGCGCGCCTCCGACCCGGCTCGTGTTCCGTCCGGCCGGATCCGACGGTCGCTCGCTGCTGCTGCAGCGGGCGCTTGCTGCGCGTCGCGTCGGTTGGGCCGGAGGGAGGGAGGCGGAGCCTTCCCTGGGTCTCGGAGATGGCGGCGCCGCCGGCGAGGGCCCGGGCCGACTACGACTACCTCATCAAGCTGCTCCTCATCGGCGATAGCGGTGAGTGCCTTCACCTTCACGCCTCCTCCCTCCACCTCTCGCTCCCCGTCCGGATCGATTGGTTGCGGTGAGATCTGAGTGCCAAATCGAAGTTCGGTTCTGATTCGTCTAGATCGCCTGTGAAACGCAGAGGCTGCTGTGCTCTGGTGATTGGGCGGGGGATCTAGACTAGAGGGAGGGATCGTGTGGAGGTACCGCCCAAAAGCCGCCGCTGTTTCGTCGATGACGTGTCACGGTTTTATATAGAAATGAAATGAAATGAAATGTTGTTGGTGCTCCTCTGAAAACTCACTCGCTCTCGGGTTATGGCTGCTTTGCTAGTTGCTGCTTGATGGCTACATTTACAACCACACAGACAAGTGAACAGAATTCCATTTGGAGACTACGATGTGAAGATAACTTAAACTTAGGGACGCTAATTATACAATAAACAGCCTTTGCCGTCTTATGCAACTGTTACATTGAAATGGTGATCGTCGGTGCTCACAGAAAAGGAAATTCATGGAATTTATGTTAATGATTCCTACTGCGATAGGAATAGGATGGGCGAAGGAGTGAAAACTCAGTCGCAGGTGACTGTTGCTAGTTCTTGAATTGGTGTCAAACATCCCAGGTCATAGTTTATCCCGTCATGAGTCCCTTGATCAGTTCTGGATGGTACATTTTTAGCTTATGGCCACTGCTAGCTGGTGATGGCCATGTTAACTTGACTGAAACTTCTGTGGGAAAGTTTGGAGTTTTTCTTAATCATAGTCCAGATAAATTATTATTTTAAAAGTCGATTATTATCTTCTACAGTTCTTCCTGTGATACAAGACGCCAAAATAATACTTTGGCATATTTGTTGTACACAAATGGGTAGGGGTGTAAATGGTATGGATATTTTCTGACCGTCCGTCCGATCGAAGGGCTACAGGTACCGTTCTGTATTCGGATGCTCAAAGTCAGATATATATGATGTCAATATCCATTCATATCTTATGCTATACAACTGACACTGTCTGTATCCGAATCCGATAAAAAAACCATCTGTATTCGACTATACGTATCCGTAGGTATCCATCCGTATCCGATCCATTTACATCCCTAAAAATGGGTTTGGTCACTCTTTTGGTTTGTTAGCTACTCTGAATTGAATAAGAGATGTTTCTTGTTATCAGTACAGTCATAACATATCGATTAGTTCCTGCCAGCAATACTAAATGTTTTCATTTTTAAATTGCCCAGTCCATCTGTTGCTATGAAAATTTCTGTGTCATGCTTTCAGTAAGGTGTAAAACTGTAAAGTTCTATCGCATTAAATTCACTTAGGAGGAGTTTTTGAAAAGCTCTTTTTACTTGCATAACGTTTAAAAACTTGATTGTATTTATTGCCTATCCAGCATAATTGTTGGGATTTTTCTGATGAGTCGTGGTGATGGTATTTTAATTTTGGTGCTCAACTTTGTTAGTATTGTTAGCAAGTGTGGCTAGGCAGTAAAAACAACTTGTCTGAGGAAGTCCCGGAGTGACATATTCAGATCACTGCAGGCCAAATGGTATCATGCTACAGGGAGCATGTGCATGGTGAAAATAGTAGTCTGATGTTGGAGACATGTTTAAGTTATAATATCAATGTATATTATTAAATCTGAACTGGGTTTAGTCACCAAGAAAAAACTACTCTTAATATTACTTATAAAAAACTCGAGAAATTATTATATTTTTGAGTCATCCTTTCTTGCATGCTACCATCTCTGTGTGTCTCATCAATAGTATCTTTGCTACCTTAGTTGTGGGCATATTTTAGGCATGCCATACATTTTGGTGCCACTGTAATATTCTTACACTGTAACTGGGTTGTGGCTCCCCCTTGCCAGCCATTTTTTTTAGTTAGGCATGTTTGAGAGCTATCTGAAGTAGAAAAAAGCAGGTCAAATAAGTAGTGGCCTTTTCTAGCGCAGGGCAGCAGTGAGCACAATGGCTCATACGGTCGTACTCAATTCTTCATCCAGCTATTACTGAAAATGAGAAGGCCAACCCTCAAGAATTTGATATTTAGGCATGCTAGAAGGGGAAACTGGAGTAGTAATATGGTATGATGGACCTAATTTAAATCATCTTTTTTTTTTACTTCTAAGTACTAACTTAAAATCAATGTGACTTTCTATTCTTTAGTCCTAATTTTTTGTTTTCTCCTTGCTCATAATTTTTAATTTATTCCCAAGCAAAATAGTAGATGCATTTTCGAGTGTAGGGATTCCATAGATAAAATGAGCATAAGCATTGGCCAAAGCTTGTTACCATGCTGGTTCACACGTGTGCATAACAAAATCACATGGGTGCGTACCACTGTGTGAGTACGCTGGTGGGTCTGACCTTGTGTTAGAAAAGTAGATCATTACTTTATTTGCTTATTTTAGTAGATTTCATTTTTTCCATTGGACTTTGGCAATTACAACATTCTTTTGGATTTTGGCCTCCCCTCAGTTGAAGGCTCATGTTCCGGCACTCCATTCATATATTATAGTTGCATCTGTTCTTAACAACTACTTTTCTGGACAACTTACCCCACTTGTTACAAGATAAACATCACATGTAAAACCATAATAATGAATAGAAAGAGGAGCCGACCAACAGTTCTTGCCTACTTGCTAATAACTATGTTCCCTCTTCCTTGCAATATTTATGCATACCTGTTGCTTGTCATGATAATATCTTCTGATTTTGTTGACTGCTATTGTTGTCAGAATATTTCTAATGATTTTGTGGTTTGTTCATTGATTCATGTTTACTATTGTGTTTGTTGAAAAAAAAATGCAACAACACTTTGTGTATTCCTGATCTTGTTTATGCAAATCACCCAATCAACTTTATTTAACAATCATCGTGTAGGTGTTGGGAAAAGTTGTCTCCTTTTACGGTTCTCAGATGGCTCCTTCACCACTAGCTTCATCACCACCATTGGGTAAGCGCTGCTAATGTATAGTGGATCATTATTTTCAAATGAATGCTGTTATTAGAGTATTTCTGAAAGTTTATATTTTATCTTTAAAAAGGATTGACTTCAAAATAAGAACAGTTGAGCTTGATGGTAAGCGCATAAAGTTACAGATATGGGATACTGCTGGTCAAGAACGTTTTCGAACTATTACAACTGGTATGCAATATACTTGTTTTCTATCAGTTGAAGCAATGTTGGCCCGTCAACTTTTTATGGGTTAATTATTCTGTATCTGCTAATAATTTTGACTATGCAGCCTACTACAGGGGTGCAATGGGAATTTTGCTTGTCTATGATGTTACTGACGAGTCATCTTTCAATAGTATGTGCACAGTGCATTTCAAGTGAAGTCAATCCTTTAATATAGGCCTTTGGCTTCTCTTCTGAACTTGTTGTTAATATTGACAGATATAAGAAACTGGATTAGGAACATTGAGCAACATGCTTCCGACAATGTGAATAAAATTTTGGTAGGCAACAAAGCTGACATGGATGAAAGCAAACGGGTATGTCCTTTTTCCCCCCTTTACCGTCTCACATTTTCTGTTCATGTAATGTTACATTCCTATTCAAGATTTTTGTGTAGTTTGATGTTCAGTTTAAACTAGAAAAGTGGATCAGTTATGTGGTGGAAAACTTCAGGATATGTTTAACACAATGCACCTCACATGGCCGTCATCTAGCCTGTCCAGTGTTTGAAAAAACATCATAGCTTTGGCACGTTGCCTAGGCCATAAGCATGCAATTAAATGTGGGGCGAGCTGATGGACCTATATATGGTGAAGAAAACAAGAGAAGAGACTAGGTTAGGATAGCAGAATGGTTACTGTGGTGTGATTTCATCTATGCTTACAACATGGTGTCCATGTCGCTCAATTTTGCTTGCCCTCTGCTCCATTTTCCCTCCTCTGCTAGATTTCATCTAGGGGTCATGTACGCAAGCGGAGTAGAGGCGGTGCGCCATTGAGGGGAAGCAGATGGACGGTGTGCGCAGGTGGAGCAGAGGTGGTGTGCCATGGAGCAGGGCAGCAGATGAGGGGTGGTGGCCATGCAAAGCATAGGGCAGGTGACTGACATGAGATTTGGGGAGATAGAAGAGGTGATGCAGCTGCATGAGAACAAAGGCAGCAGCTGGGACGGTGGTGGTAGTGGTAGGGCATTGATGGGAGGTATGGTGCTTAGATGGGCTTCCCCAAGGCAGTGGGCTGTGTAGACATTCCTCTTACTTTCCCATTTATTCTTTCATAGTTATGCAGATTGCAGCTACATCTGTCTAGCGCCATGTTCTTTGGAACCTTAAGTTTAATCCTTATTTTTTAAGTGGCCTTTATTGTCTGAATACAGGCTGTACCGACTTCAAAAGGGCAAGCTCTTGCTGATGAGTATGGCATCAAGTTTTTTGAAACGGTCAGTTCAGTTTTTACTTTTTATTTCTGCTGTGTTCTCCTTACATCTGTTCTAACTGAATGGAACGACCTGCTTGATATGTGGTTCCCTAAAAGGCTAAAACTATATGCGTGTGCCTCGTGATTGTTGTTTCTGCAGAGTGCGAAGACCAACCTGAATGTGGAGCAGGTTTTCTTCTCCATAGCAAGAGATATCAAGCAAAGGCTTGCTGAATCTGATTCAAAGCCAGAGGTGCAACTTCAATCTTGTTCTTCCTTTTAAAGCTGCTTTCCAAAAAAAAAACACTAATGACTTGGTACTTCAGCAATGTTGCTTAATAATCAAGGAATTCTATGGTTTCAGGATCGCACGATCAGTATTAACAGACCTGAGGGTGGTGAGGCTTCGGCGTCACAAAAATCAGCTTGCTGCGGATCGTGAGGGGGTTACATTGTCACAAGCAAAAGGAAGATAAATAGTGTGGTACCATGCTTGTAATTTACCCTTCTACCTTTTATTTGGCTGTCATCGTTCTCTTCTAACTTTTAATTGCAATTGCTTGGATTCAGATTTCTGTGTTATATGTGAACAATTTTAGTTGTACCCCGGGTAGAAATGCAAGTGCTCATAAGTCAATGCACCTTGTGTTAATGGAAATGCTTGCATAATCGTTGCAGAGTTTAGGGGCGGCCGTACCAGAACCTGTTATTCTTGCCACTCTTCCTATATCTGGATTTCGGACTCAAGTATATATTTGGTAGTTTTGGATTCTAATATGATATTGCCATATGTACCTAACGAGGTAATTTGCCCTCTGTGAGGCTCGATATAAACTACGGCAGTGCTAGTGCCTGGATGGACGCATGCGTCAAGACGCCTGCGCTTGCAACCCGTTTTGCGCGCCTAGGTGGGGGCCTGCGCCCATCCATGTCGCTCACGCCTCTTGACCCCACACGGAGATTGCTTGCTCCCTCTACTTCTCGCTCGGATGCCTGCTGTGGTAGGTGGGTTTCCAGCAGCAACTTCCGATCTAATTTTGAAATTACCAGATAAAATATTTGTAACATACGTATGAAGACAGATGAAACATGCATCTGAAATACTTAAAAACATTAAAAACACTTGAAAAGCCATTGTAAAAGCACGTGCAACATTTAGATAAAATAATTTCAACATATGTGTGAAATACATGCAACATCCAAATAAACACATTGCAATATACGTCGGAAGAAATAGATGAAACATTTGAAACAGATGCTTGCAACATACGTCTATAGCTATTGCAACATATGCAACATCCCGATCTACTTTTGCAACATCTACTTGAAACACTTGCAACATGCATATGAAACACGTCTATAGCCATTGCAACATATGCAGCATCCCGATCTACTTTTGCAACATCCACTTGAAACACCTGCAATATATGCTTGCAACATGTCTGGCGCGACACTCTAGTGGACGACGATCACCATGTCTGGCAAGCCTCGAGGCGGTCGTGAAGTACGGCACGACCATGACGCCCTTTCCGTTTCTAGCCATAGGAGGATGTGATGAGGAGGACGCCGACGTTGGCACAGGCGATGAGGTGGCGGATGTGCGGGAGAGGGACTTTGTACTGGTACCTGAAGTGGAAGCCATCCGATGATATGAGCAACATCACGGGCTTGGGGGAGCTTGGAGAGCGGCCACGTAGCAGCGGGCGCCGCGGTCACGATGGTGAGTGGCGAGCGGAGCAGGACGAAGGTCGTTGTGGCGGCGAGGGCCATGGTTACGAGGAGCACGTGGCGGGGAGGCAAATGAAAGCTGGAGTGCGGCAGTGGAGGAGGAGAGGAGAGCGGCATTGGGCCACGGCGAGTTGCCGGGGGTCCAGACCTCGATTGAAGGCTGGGGTGTGACCATGGAAGAGGAGAGCCGAACGTGCTTGCGGCTAGCAGCTTGCGGAGTGGGGGATTTTTTTGGAGGCGGCGTGGGAGTATTAGATATTTGTGAATACGTGGACGACGTGAAGCCATGTAGCGTCTGACATCTGGACGCCCTAATCATAGCATTACCGTATAATCTATCCCACCCATTATATTCAATCCACTATGTGCTTTCATGGTATCTGAGGATCCACTCTATCTCCACATGAATGCTCCAAAGCGGGAGAGCAAGACTTAGTTGCACCCAAGCCCTCTATCTATAGGACCCTCTTTCCCAACTTGTCAAGAAACACAACAACCTCTCTCTCTCTTGGGGATCAACTTAAGGAAGTATCCTCAAGTCCCTAAGCCAACAAATCTCCTAATCACTCCCTCTATCTCATACTTCCGCATCAACCTCTGCAAGAGCAAACAGATAGAGAGACATCAAGTAGCCATGCTGGCCCAAGGCAATGCTGCCATCATGAAAGACAAACACATCTATTTAAAGAACTCTATTTTGGATACCCTTGTTTCGCCCATGTGCATTTATGTTATATATGCATGTTAGGGTTTTGGGTTAACAAACGAACTTTGCTACCCTTAGTGTAACCTCATCTAGTGTAGCTTAAGGATTAACCGTCTAGAACTACTCACCAATGGGAAGGGTAACAACGACTGTGCTTAGCCTTCCTTAGAGGTGGTAGGAGTCGAATGACGGGTGAGAAGCCTCTTTCGCGAGCTATAGGTAACCGCGAGGAAACACCATGACTTAAGCTAAAACTTGCATATGGTAGCAACTTGCTTAAGGATCCAATAATACAATAAGCTAAAGAGGATGTTGTTCATGTTAATGGCCCCGTTCGCGTGCCTTTAAACCCGGCTTGATCCGCTTATTTTTTTTCATCCGGAACAGTGTTTTTCTCTCACAAATTCCTCCAAACCATCCAGATCCCTCCAGAATTCAGACAAGCGAACATGCCCAATAAGGTACGAATGACAAATAAATGTGGACTAGGCTCGGTGTGGGGCAGGGTCATGGCGAGTCGAGGTGCATGAAACAACTCACTTGAGTCGGTTAAGTACCATTGCATCTGTTTTAGTGAGCCTTGAACACCTCTCTCATACATAGCAAATTTCACATGCATATGGGATTGGTAAGCCTAGTATCATGTTGTGATCTGATCGGGTAATCCTGTCGACAGGGGGTGAGGAGTAGCTAGAGTGGCTAGTACTCTTGCACCTCTCGGTCGTTATTGGACGACTTGGATCAACGTGGGATAGGTGTTGGAGACATGAATCGTCCCTTTATCTAGGCACGGTATGGTGGTTTGGACTTGTGCTCCTTGTGAGAAAAGTTGTACACTCCTCCAGAGCTACTAATCATTTTGAAATGCCACGCTCTCAGTTATGAGCAAGTTCTTGGCTTTTGGCCTAAGAGTACTAGCCACTCTAGCTACTCTAGAGAGTCCTCAAATGACTAACACCACCTCCTGACCTCAAATTACTAACCATGAAGAGAGTCCTCATGGAAGACGAGTTGTTATTTTAAACCAAAATCCTCATGAGTCTCGCTGAAAAACCTTTCTCCTATATCTTTGAAAGGAGAGCTCAAATTTAGAAAATCTATGTGTTTTCAAACATCACACAATCTCTCCCGCCACATCTTGTATGTATATATATATATATATATATAAGCATCGAAGTTAAGAACCATCAATTTTTATTTCTAATTAAGTTCTTGGACCAAATTAAACACCACCAGCAAAGCTCCTGAACACCTTCTCCTCCACCCGTCGCTTGCATGAGCTAGGCACATCGTACACCATTACTTAAGACAGAGATCGAGCAGCCTCTCCTGTCTTCATTCTCCGCTCCGTTCGTTACCAGCTAGAGCTAGCACAAGAATAAACGCCAGCAGCAGGCATGGGCAAAGCTAAGCTCCCCGTGACCGTCGTCCTGGGCCTGTCCCTGGTGGCTCTCGTCCTCCTGAGCAGTGTCGTTCAGGACGCTGCCGCCATGCAAGGCTCGCTAAACTACCACACGATGGCGGCCGACCAGGAAAACGGAATTTGTTTGATTAAAAGAAGCGACCAAGGAAACCATCAATATATAATGCTACTTACCATCCTATCAAATACTGCAGGAGTTTGTTGTTCTGTATAATCAAACAAATTCACCTTTCAAAGACACTCCCAATGAGACAACAAGCAAAGCACATTTGATCACATTGATCCCCTTTCCGCCTCCCCTCCCCACAAATCATCCCAACAGTTCTCCATGCAGTACTTACCCAACAAAACAGCAGGTGATGTTTCAGATCAGGATATTAACAACTGAATCGACATTAGCTCTGTTGTAAATAAAAAAATATATATCATAATCAGCAATTCAGCAATTAGCACCACGCGACAGAATTATATATACCGGCCTGCTTAAAGAGATGCAGGGGAAGTACAGTAGCTAAGTAATTAGCACCTGAGTCTTGATGACCATATCCCCAGCTTGAAGTGGTGGATGCAGAACCTCAGGAAATCGTCACGATAGGGTTGTTTGAAGACTGTGGTTGTGATAATGGTACCATGACAAATCATTTTTCAAGCTAGCTACCAATCTGATTCAGGCGTATAGTAATAGTACAGAGACAACAAAAAATGATTTTACCAAGGGCAGAAAAAATGGCAGCAAATTTACCTAGTTTGCCTCAGAACTTTCCATGGGAAAGGTGAGCGTTGTGCTTGTCTTGGTTGATATTGGCGAGTAGGCCATTAAGATCCTGGATAAGTAGCTTCTTCTTCCTCCTTGTGCTAAACTCTTCATTGTAGAGTCTCTTGATGAGCCCATGTCCTGAACGACCCTGAGCCCATGACCAGTTGGCGGTGAGGAGCATTGCCGTCGGGAGGAGGTGACTGCCGCTCTCTTCCTGTTCCGGGAGGAGACGGCCGGCGGCGGTGTGGAGGAGGCGGCAGTCCATGGAGGAGACGGCCAGCGGTGGGATAGCTGTTCGTGTCCTCCCTTGCGTTGGTCTTTTTTTTTTATTCCGTGATAGAAGTATTGGAACCCTGACCGGCGATGCTGCGAGGGCGGAAGCGCGCGTGGTGAGGGGCTGAGTTTGAAGCCTTTCATCAAACTTTCATAGGCAGCCACCGGATTGGGTTCGGGTGGTTTTGTAGCCCTTGATTTTAATGGAGATAATTTTCTATGTGTATTTTTTTGGGTGCACAATAGTTGAAGGTTCTCAGCGGGGACGTTTTTCTTAGTAAACCTAGGATAGTTTTGATTGATTCATTATAATAGAGATGAGGGTCGTTTTTTTGACGAACGAATTTCATCATAAAACTAAAGACAAATATAGCTTCTTGAGTGACGAAAGATGTTCGTTATGTATGTACACATCCCTACTAGTGTAAACATGTAGTATCTATGGATAACCCCTCGTATACTATCGGAGTCACAATGTTTCCAACCATAATGGCCAGAGAAAGCTAAGTATGGTTGGTGGCATATTGAGTGGACGAGACGGCACATCTACCCACTCCGTTAACTAAAATAGGATAGTGAGATTGGGGCCACCTTAGAATTAGTGGAAGGACTTTGCCGTGGTACCTCCAAATGACTATTAGCCGTTTATTTAATGAGATCAGATGGTTAAGATGATATATTACTTCCTAGGAGATAATATGTGAAATATTAATTTATTAATTTGGTAAAATATGATAAATAAGGAAAGTTTAGATTTAAAAATCTTTTTTCTAGATCTATTTGATATGGTAAATTTTT